GGTTAAAAGTTTTAAAAAATGCTGAGCATCATCGAAACCACTGTATTAATAAAGTATACAAACTAGACTAAGCGCGTGGGAAGCACGACAGTGAGCTAAACTTCCCACTCGTGGAACAAGCCCAAGGATGGCGGCGTGGTAGCGGTTTTCCGTCTCTTAACACTGGGGCTTTTGCACTGCCAGTCTTGCGCCTGTTGCAGGACCGGGAACTTTTGCGAACCACTGCGCTCCTTACGGATTTCAAACATTGCTGAAATATACTCATGTAGTGGTTCTCGATGACGCCCAGGAAGTTTCTATCAATACCCCTGTTTATTTGTCGTAATAAATAGGTAATTACCAAATGTTAGTAATATATCACAATCGTGACGATTAACACCCTAAATTACGTCCCCTGATTGTATAATTCACCTAAACAAAACCGCATGACAGTAGCTTAATGACGGCCTTTAAAAACCAGACCGGTTAAAACACACACACACGCAGGCACACACACACGCACGCGCGCACACACACAAACACACACACACACACCAGGTATTCCTTTTAACAAGCGAGTACAAATACACCCTGTAAATCGTTAGGCAATTGACATTATTACCTAAATCGACAAAGTTGTTCCACAAATTTAATAAAAGAAAGTGCACGATGATGACTCGACGTGATGCGTTTAGACAGCGACAGCTGTGCTGCTTATTCGACGATGTGACGATGACGATTGATTGACATTGTGTCGATCGTGCGTCTTACGGTTATTTGATATCAGGGAGTTTTCCTAGATCGTTGTCGCCGTCCCTCAACGCCCTCCGAAACCCGCTACGATACCCGGAACTTTACAGTCAAGGTTACTGGCGCGCATGCGCAGTAGCAACTTTTTCGTTGCGGAGGGCCTAGCGGAGGGGGAAGCGCTGTCTACGAAAACTCCCTATTGAAATGACGCGTTGATTTAGCGTCGATGCGTTGTTGAGGAATGAATGATTCCAAGGTCATTTGGTTTCCCGCCAAATTGAGTGGGGAAATTGAATTACACATACGTCAAATGACACCAAACTTTCCGCTATATTTAGCGGGAATCCTAAATATTTTGTATATGTCGTGACGTCAGGTCACGTGGCATAACTTTTCCAGCCAAATTTAGCGGAGAAATTGATTTGGTGCATAGGTTACGTAACGTCAATTGATTGTGATCGTGACGGCGTTCACGATCACGCCGTCACAAAATCGGACAACGGGCCACTAGCAGCTGTCGCAGCATCAGGAAGAGATCTCTGATGTTGGAATTACTGTGATGTCAAATATATGTCTTTCCTGGGGTGTATAGTAAATGTAGAGTAAAGAACAGGAGGCGTCATTATGCAGTTAAGCACAGCTGGAAATTTGTTCTTAAGAATCAAACGATACAAGAAGCATAGTGAACCAATTGCAAGTAAAACGCGTAATTTCTCACCAGTTTTGGCATGGTAGACGCTTTGGGGAAATTGGAAAGCTCTCCCCTGGCAACCTTCATGCGATAGTAGATGTGTGCCTTAAGGAACTCGTCTTTGTGGTCGCTCGAGAGGCCACTCTCACTGATTTTACATCGTTTGTTTGCGGCTTGCAGGCTGTGTGCACCACCCCTCCAGGAACCTTCTTGTATTCGGGTCGGCACACGGCTTCCCCCAGAGTAGCTGGGACTAGCGCAGCAGACAACAGGAGCAGCCTGGCCACGCAACTTCTGGTGGTATTCATGTCGGCTTTGTCAGATGCTCGCTGTCAGAAATATAGGGGGTGCAACTTGCCAGAATGTGTTTCTTCTTGGTACTTTTTTGCAAGATCTCGTCAATGCAACATTATTGGGCATTGTACTGAAGGCACGCAATTTCACACGAAAGCGTTTGGGAAGGCACGCAATTTCACTCGAAAGTGTTTTGTAACAATGCAATTGTTACAAAAAGATAGCAACCGGATGTCAAGCTAAAAAAAATAACACCCATTTCTTCCTAAAACGCTAACGCGAGTGGGGCTCTTCGAGCAGTTTGCCATTGCGTTAAAGGGATACTGAACCGAAATTTCGAGCTCCCTAAACAAGTCCGGGCGGATAGGCGGGAAGCTGCAAAACCAAAAAATATCACTCATACGGCGCTATATCTAACGGATCGCCGTATTTTTTTGGAAAAGAAGTGCGCGATTCAAACCGGCCGACGAGGCCGACGAGACAAGGCGCGTCACGATTCCTATTCTCTCTCCTCCTCGCTACGTCCCGTCAAGCTGGGGAACCGAAGCGAGGAGGAGAGAAGCCGAGGCCGCTTCTCCTCATTCTCAAATTCTCCCGGAGGACAGTTACGTCAAAGAACTCGCTTGATCGCGCCCTTCTTTTCCAAAAGTACGGCCATCCGTTTGATATATCGATGTAAGAGTGATGTTTTGGAGTTCGTAGCGTCCCGTTCAACGCTTCTGCAGCCTTACTTTGCGATGTAAAAATTAAATAGCGCAAAGGTTAGACAAAGGATAAAGGACAGAACATGTAGACAGGACAGAACATGTAGACAGGACACGTTTTTCTTCCTTTTTCGGCGTATTTCTATGCTGCTTCCTTCTCTTCTTTTCTATCAAAACGCCAGTTGTGAGTTAGCGCTTGTCCTGTCTACATGTTCTGTCCTTTGTCCTTTGTCTAACCTTTGCGCTATTTAATTTTTACATCATGCATATCCAACTAGCCCACCTCAATATCTTATTACTTTGCGAAATCCAAATTTCGGTTCAGTATCTCTTTAAAGGTTGTCTCCACCATCAGTGTAAAAAGTAATTTTGTTGTGTGGACGTTTAGGCGGCAAGAAGTTAGTCAGCCACTCTGGGTGCCTCGTGTCTCCCCTAGAGGCAAGAAATTTAACCCGTGCTGCAGGCGACTGCAAAACTGGGATCTTTAACGCGGTGCACCACGCAGTAACTGTCGATACACACCCGCACGCCGTTACTATGCTCATGCGGATTGACACTCAGGGGTCGGTATTGAGCTTCACGTGTGTAGAGCTGCGGTGCGTTAGAGCACTTAGCCACCGAAAGCCCCCTCCTTCCCATCCCGAGGCCGATGATTTCATAGAAGCTTTGAGTCTTTCTTCGGTCGTTCATTGTTGGGGTAATTTCGCTTGTAGTCCGATACTCGTTCTCGAAAACGTCAGAATTTTTGTTTTGTTTATTCTTGATTATATGACAGACCCTTTATAGGCTTTGTTGCGAACTCCTCGTTAAGATACAGCGAGGCATTGGTAAGAATATTGAAGGTTGTATGACAAAATACACTTAATACTGCTTACGTGTAGGAATGCGAAACCATTCCTACATGCAGCGCACTCCTACAAGCAGTGCGCCACGTCTTCCTTTTTTACACGGCACGCCGGTGGTGACATCCCGCTCCCCCACTGCACAGGCGCGGCAGCCCCGCCGGCTCCACGGCTTCCGTGGCGATGCATCTGCGTAGATGTGCTTTTGGCCATTTGGACTTTAGGTGCGGTTTCGCTCAGCCAATGGGAATGTAGGTGCCGTTTTTTGCTGCTACAGACAACGCCGGTTTCGCTTCATAGGACAGTTAATGCTTTCGCATTGAAATTATTGGCACACTCACTGTGCGCCAAAGATGGTTATGGTGATAGCATAAAGTGATCGTTACGGAAGCAATCTAACATTTTTCTGTCAGCAAGCGTTCACCTGCAGCAACGGATCTTGGGCCATCGGCGAATAAAACATCGTTCATAGTGCACAGGGTATAGTCAGTTCCCTAATTTTCGACGTCACCACAATACAGCCTTCACATAACTAGAGTTTCCCAGGCAACATGAAAAATGCTTGTTTCCTACCAGTTAAACTATAATGCCTCGTGGACAAGACTTTGGAAGCAGCACTAAAAGAAACTGGAAGCTACTATGTTCTCATTCATAGTCTATTATACATGTTTGTTGTCACTCACTGTAAAAGGCGCTGCACAGAAGCAATAAACTCCTCGCGTACAAACTTCTGTAGCCCTGGGGTTTGAAATATTGAACCATAGTTGGACACAACTATCAGCCCTATGGCCCAGCTATTGGTTAGCCGCGTTACTTCTGACGGTAACAACGTAATTCTAAAACGATATAGAGAAAGTTACCTTCGGCGCAGAGAACCAGCTTGTGCTCGTGGCTTGCCGGCTAACGTCTCAATGTGGGAGCTGAAATAACGTCTCGGGGCAACGCGGGTTTTGTTCGGGGGCTTAAATCAGCGCACCGCAATGAAACAATGACCTTTAACACTGCCTGCTCAGTATTTTTCATGCTCACCGACCACGCGGCAAGGTAATCATCGCGCGAGTCTGTTTTTTGATCTCCTATATTTTATTTCAAAGACGACTACTGTGAAAAAAAAAGGACGGGAACGTAAGCGTAGCTCAGCCGAATGAGTTGTTTGTACGAGAACTTGTGCGAAAAATGCAAGTTTTAAATCCAATGCATGTTCTTGAACCGGTACCTTTGTCAGCACCTATGATGCATTTCCTGGCATGAATACCTTGATTGGATTGACGTGACGTTAGCCGCTATTACCTTGACTTCGTTGCGGAGTACGCACCTAGCGCAGTATACAATTTGCACCACCAAAATTAGCAAGCAGCAGGGCACGTCAATAAGCGAAAGATCAATCGCTTGAATATCTGAATTGTAATCTTTTTTTTTTTCAATTCTGAATCATTTTTGTTGTACGTTCTGCGAAGATAATAATATAAATGAAATCATTTAAAACCCGTATTTTATATTGACCAATTGCCGTATTTCATATTTTTCTAAAGCGCCAACAAAACAATGTGTGGAGGCCGTTTGTTTTACGGAATTCATGGGTGATCGATCGTCTTGATGTTCTTACAAAGTTTCACATTCCCGAACATAATCAACACATTGATTTGCCTCTCAAATCACTTTAAGTTCCTGCATCGTTCACGTTGGGTGAATTTTGAAATTAATTGAAGATTAATATAGCTCCCATAATCGAGACGAAGCCTACGATTGTGGGTGTTGGGCAGCTGGGGAAAGAATTGGCACCAGCAGACCGGTTGGGGGTCGCATCGGTTGTGGTCGGTTCATTTGGGGTTGAGGTTGAACTTCTGGAAGTTGGATTCTTGGGAGATGATTTTCTTTGGGTTGGTCTTCTGGAGATTGGTCTTCTCCGGGTTGGTCTTTTGGAGATTGGTCTTCTCCGGGTTGGTCTTCTCGACATTGGTCTTCCAGGGGTCGGTTCTCTCGGGGTTGGTCTTGTCGAGTTTGGCAGCTCACATAATCCGATGCTCGGTTGGCAAGTGGTGTCCTTTGGGCATTTACTGCAGGGAGCTCCTGCTTCGTAGACCGGAAATGACAGGAAGTTTCCCCTGCGAAGAAAGGCCTGTGTAAGGAATATCGAATGCTAACTTGCGTCATGCTTCCCTTAAACGGCTACAGCGAAATGTTTCTCGAACTCCTTTAACACCTTCCTTCTATTCACACCAGATGACTCTTGGAGCACTTGAAGCGGATACGAATAAACGGATCTACCTACTGCCTTTGAGGCGGTTTTTAGCAGGGGCGATGTTTGAGTGGGGTGCTCACACCGTATGCTTAAAAAGAACGAGCCCCCACTTGTCCTCTAAGAAGAGCCACAAGTTTAGTTGGAGTGCGCGGTGCGAAAGCATCATCGACTAAAGTTTCGATTCAGTATAATAAAGCTCAGCTTGCGCCGATTGACGAAGCAGATTTATAGTTGGCTTGTCCCTCCATGACAAAGGGTTCGATATTTTTTCGAGCGAGTCTGCTGTTTCGTGAAACCGAAACTACATCAAGCAAGAATTAAGTAGACCAATCAACACAAAGGGCGACCACAAAACCCAATGGGCTAATAAAATGCGAGAGGAAGGTGAAACTTCCAAGTGGTCATCAATCATGAAGCCAGAACAAGGCCACATAACTCTAAAGTGACCGCAATCGTTGCCCACGTTACTTTCGTTGCATACTGCCATATATTCTACGTGTAAACATGTGGTATCTTGTTTTAACTATAGTGGTTTCAAGTCTTGTAATACGATAGCTAGGATGAGAGCAGTCGCAGTGGTATTTGCGCTAAATCAAAAAATTTTATATCAGGGGCGCTTAGATTTTTTCTTGTTTTATATTTTCCATCAAAATAACAGTGATCTAAAAAGAGGTGACTTTGAGCAATATACCCTTGTGCTGCACCCCCCCCCCCCCCCCCGCATTCTCCCCGCAAAAAGAGAATTGTGATGTGAGTTAGATGGGTTAAAGTCTTCATGCCTCGCATATCTTTGTCACTACAGTCACACAAATTATCACCGAGTTTCAATTGAGTTCCGGATGTATTCTTATTAAGTACATTAAACACTAAATTTAAACTCGTCGATAATTTTTGCAAGGGTATGGGAGCGTTTGCAAGCGGCAAGACCAAGGTAGCCTTTAAAAATTGGGTTATAAACAAACGGAGCAGTCAAGAAATACAAAAAAGTACAAAGGGTCGTATTGCTATTTACGACTGAACAGTACCTCTACTGAGCACAATGAAATCTTCAACCCGCCCGCATTTGTCAGCACCTTCTTGTCTTCAAGCCTTGTCGCGCAAGGTAGTGCTGCGGCCTGCAGACATTAGCTGATGCGCTCTGTAGGCTCCTTTTTTTCTTCTACTTCTTGTCCTACGTCTCGGGTTTCACAATCTTGAAAGTTTACCAGCTCACTTGCATCTTCTCTGTACTTTCTATACCGCTTATGCCCGTGAGATCGTCACACCTCGTCTTCCACACCCGCCCCCCCCCCCCCCCCCCCTCCTACTCCTCGGCCCTCCATAGTTGTGATGAGGGGTTCGTCACTTTTGTCGTCTCAAACTATATACTTACAGTTGCAACCACGATTTTATCAAGTAAAGCTTGAAATGCCTTTTTGACGGCATTCCGCAATCCCAACATTTTGTCCCACCTCCGTGTGTTCGTCTGTTCTTCTGCCCGTTTGTGCATTTCCGACTAAATTTAGCGGAGACACTAGTTGGCGTTTTGGTCACGTGATGTCAAATGATGTCACGTGGCCTGACGTCACGTGACCATACACAAATTCATTTACCTCAAAAAAGTTTGAGGGAAATTTGATGAAACTGACCTAACGTCACGAAATCTGTACACCAACTTACTTTCCCCGCTCAATGTATGGGGCAATTTAATAAAATAAAGGTTCTTCACTTACCGAAACGATGGTGTAATGTCTCCTAAATAATGTTAAATTATCGCTCCTCAAATACTGCATTTCATGCATTACAGCACTTTGGAGATGAAGGTCGCCGCCAATATTTTTTTTTAATCCCTTTCCCCTGTTTCTTATTTCGGCTGCCAGGCGGCGCCAGCTTTTGCTACACAGTTGAATAGGTTATAACTCTTCACACGGTTGTTTCCAATTTTTCCCTCTAAGTGGTCGCGTTTGGAATTTCGAATACTCACGCTGGCGCGTAGTTGCAGACATATATTTTCTGGTAGGGCGTTGGGCTACGGTCGCCGTGCAATGTATACTGGGTGAAGCCGCAGCCGAGGAATTGGGTTTCCGCCCATATAATCTGCGAGCAACGGAAAGAGAAACCACGATGAACGCAATGTTTAGAAGCCCGACGTCGTGTGTTGAAGTGTTCGCAACCTTTAGATGGATATGCGCATTAGAAGCAAGAGGCCCTGCTGCTGTTACTTTGTTCTTATACTGTTGAGGAAGGTTTTTGGATTGTCTACAAAACGTCATGTCTTCAGCAAGTAACCTTTTTCATGTCAATGTGGCAGATTACTCCTTTTGACTGTACGACCGGAATGCCTCCGGTTCGGGACGAGTTTACATCTGTTCAATGGCTGTCGTAGAGACGCCGGCATTGGCAGCCAACGTCGTTACACGCTGCTTTCTGTGACGTCATAAAGCAAGATGTAAAGGCGTTCTATTTGCCCTTGGCCGTTTCCAGACATCTCGGTCATGTCTGCCGTTTCAGATGGGTTTTCTACAGAGTGTAAGCCAGTGCTCTTTGGCTCTATGAAATCATCGCTCCAACATTAAATTTTCCTACAAGTATTCTTTCAGGTATATATATTTATCATAAGTTGGAATATATAATTTTCTAGTTATTAAAAAAAAAAAGAAGACGCAATGATCTGCGGGTGATATTTCATTTCTTTCGACACCCCTTCTGAGTATGTGCTGTCAAAAACACACTCAAATATGGCGTTATGTGAATACTTCTTATCGAGCTTACAATGCTGGTAGATTTAAACAAAAGAAATCTGAGAGGAGAGGAGAAAGAACAGAATAAAAATGACCGGGAGACTTTTTTTTTTTTTTAAGGGTGGGCCTTTGGCATGTTTTGCTTTGGCTCCGCGTGCACGGTCGCAGGAGACACCTTCCTGCTGTTCTCATCCCATTAGTGACAGTATAATATATTTAGGTGGACAACAATAGACCGATCTTACTGAGCGTTCCACGCATGCGTGAGGCCGCCATAATTGCAGCTTCTAGAAGGCAATCGCCAGTACACGAGACAGCTCGTGCCCCCTCGTGCTCTCTCTCAGCGAGATTCTCGCGCGTGCAGAAAGACCGCAGATCCCACGATGCAAGGCGGCAGCGGCGGCGTAATGACGCTCGGTGTAAGATCAGTCTATTGGCGACATTCCTTGATATGTTCATAGATGCGGGCACACGTCCTCTTTCCTAACGTGCACTAGCTGAAGCTTCAAGAGTAAGCTATATTTCTTTTTAAAACAGAGTGAGAATAACATTTAGGAAGGGTGGTACTAGGCCATCCGCTTGAACCACGATGTGTAACACAAGCAATATTAGAGAAAGACGGCCACCTGAGTGAAGTGTCCGGTTTGTTTTCCGAATTGGGGGGGCAAACGCTCTGATACCGGCAGGATCGAAATCGCGGTATTCGTTGAACCAGGACGTTACTTGACGTGTCACATTCATGGGCTGGTCTCCGTCCGGTGCCGCTTCCCAGGCCAAGTTTTGTCCAACGCATCTGAATTTGGCTGTCGAACAAAGAAGAAGGCATTGGCAGCTTATGAATGACTGGGCTGTTTAGTTATGACAGGTTTTTTTTTGTATCGGTTCTGGGTGGAGATTGGTCTGTACTGTAGGTCCTATTAAATGCAGAGTAATATAGACTATACATCGATTACTGGGCCGCAACCAACGCTACGATTTGATTGCGTAGAATAAGCAGCGCCAAAAGTGCATCCTCATGCCGCTCGTTGACTATGGGCGTGTTCCAAAATTTACTCGATTTTACTCCAGGGTAAGGGTTTTGTACCTTGGCGTTTTAAAACCTACCCGCGTCCAGCGTTTTTCAATCTGTGTTGTCACCTGACACGACCCGCCGGGGTAACTCGGATTTATTTGGGCAAGATTTGGAACACAGCCAATGTGTTATCACTGGCTAAACCAATTACCTACAAAAAAGGTAGAATGATGGTGCAATCACTGCGTGATTGGGTATAATCAATGATAGTAAACGACCAAACTTCATGAGCACCGTGATTTCTCACTTTTGACGATGTTTGATTGGCTCCGTCGGAATATAGCATAGGCCGAGGTTGAAGTCAAAGTGAAACTGAGGGGAAGATGCGCCAAGGGAAGTGAGGCACTCACTGGTGAACCTCCCCTTCTTGTTGTCATGACGCAGATCCCTGTTGGCAACGGTGCACTGGTCGGCGTGCGCTTGAGCGACTTCAGCCAACTCATCGTCCCATATCTGTACCGAATTGAAACGGCGACAATTACATGAAAAAAAACAAAAAAAACTAGAACAGCAATAATAATATTGTTATTGTAATGGCACTTGACGCACCAGAATTTAGAACGCATCAAAATTTAGAAATTAGTTAGTTCGAAGAGCGGATTAAAATTAGTTACATCAGAAATTGCAAGCAAAATGTTGCAGTCCTGCAAGCAGAGTGTCGAACCGATATTTTTATTGGTTCGGTTCGGGTTCGGGTTCACGGCTTTCGGTTCAGTTCCGGTTCAGTTCCGGGGCGCAAAAAATAACGGTTCAAACCGGTTCGAACCGGTTCGAACCGGTTTGAACCGCTAAATTAAGAATATATTTTCCGCGTTGTTCTGTCAATAAGCGTCATTTAGGCCGTGAAACTAACTGCTGTAAACGATCTGATTTTTGCGAGGACCTATTTTTGAGAATTTCGCGAATCGCCTACAGTTCGCGAAAAATGGGTCCCGCGAACAATTTCGGTAAAATGTAAACAGATTGAAATTTATATTGAGATTCCACCGCGTCGAGAAAATTACAACCCGCGAATTATTCCAAAACTTCAGCTTTGACCTAAATCGCGAAATATTGAGGCCACGAAAAATAGTCGTTTACAGTATATAGTTTTTTTTTATTGTTTGTTAAATTTAGTTTTATTCTCAGGTACCAAAATTATAAAATTCTGTTATTTATTCCTACACAACAAGAAAGGAAAATCTACATTAACATACAAAACGTCGTGTTTATACGACTCAACATCCCTTCGTTTACCAGAGTCACATATATTGTACCTGAATCGAAATGTTTTAGGAAGTGAAGTAGGTTGCCTAAAATACCCGTGATCGGTACAACTTTGTATCGCAGTATTAGATATTGAATCGTGGTTTTGCCCTTGAACTAAGGAATTAATTACAGTGAATACAATCATGAAATGGGCACCTCGTCGCCATATATATCATTAAATGTGTTTTACGGAATACGTTTCACAATATATATATGATGACGAGACGACTGAGCTTAAGGGAATATAATTTTCAAAGTGTCACGAAAGTCACGGGACAAGTCCTTCCAGTCTATATTTTATAGGAACACTAAGCGACAATCGCAATGCTTGTTTTTCTAACTAGCATATTGTTTGCTCTCAGCACCATGATGCGGGCGACGAATCATGCGAAAAGGAGTGGCTGAAATTGTTCACTCTAACCTATGAGCACCTTAGTACTGAGATCGAATCTGACCTAAAACAGTGCTTACCCATGTGAACATTTTCTTATATTGGATAAACTGGCATAGCCTGGATGTTGAGGTTTGCTCTTGACAAAATGCAGGTCAATTTAATTTGCAAATAAGCATCACCCTCGCTAATTGATGATTTTTGTTAAATAGAACAAAGTGGTATTTCATGCTCTACTCAATTCGGAAGCTACCTAATTGGACAGTTTCTGTGAGTTTAAGTGTGCAATCGTCATAGTTCCACCATTCGTTCCAGTAAAAAAAGGCGATAGTAAAAACACATAAAAAACGCGATAATAAACTTCTATATATTTGAGAAGTTATATATGCGTGAGGAACACATATAGTTATTTAAATTAGCTGCAATATAATAAAAAAAAAACATTATTTAAATATTTTCAAAATCACCTATAACGTGTCTATAGAGGATAAAAGCGCCGAAAAATATTTGCCGAACATCTTTCAGATAATTTAAAGGCGCATAACTTATATATCTTGGAGGTGAGAATCTTCTATTTATGCTGCCAAATCTTCAGACAGGAATTAAGTATATTTTTATTATCATCGATAAATTTGACTTTATGAAGTTCAGATAACCGCCTGAGACCGACACGGTAGGACGATACTCGAAAATACGCCAGCTGTTGTGTCTTCGGCAACGTGCTTTTGTTAGCTGTTTTGCAGTGTAAAATAGTGGGTTGCAGGGCATGCCAAAAAACACTGTGGTCACATGATATATCGGAAGGCAAATACACGAAATGTGCAGAAATAAGGAGATGACACGCATTTTTTTCTAAATAATCCCTTACACAACGCTTTACTGCAAAAAGAAATGCATAGAAATGCATAAAATGATATACCTAATTAAACATAGATTCCGCGCAGGGCAAACAAAGATTTTTTAGAATCCTAATATAAATCACTTTTGGGCATCAGCTTGCCTCAGCTCGAAACATCGCGGGATACTACCTCGGGAGGCTAATGTTATCTTAGGTTTTATGTGCACTTGTTTTGAGACCTTACTTCATGACTCTGTTCTTTATCAGTCATGTGCTCCAACATTTCATTAGGGTGCCGTATATCATCGCGAGACTACTATAAATACTACACAACTTTACACATTGGACGTCTACTGCTGGTGTTGCGAACGTCGCACTTCACCAGAAAGCTGAAGTATTTAACATGGTTTGCACGTGACGTAATCGCACTAGATACTGGTTGTCATTGCGTGTTGTTCTTGCTGAGAAAATCAAATCCGGTTTGGCAAAATGCACGCTGCAAAAGTTTCGCGCTCAGTGCAAGCTATGTATTTGAGAGGCACACATTTTTCTTGTTGGTACATCGTCGTTAAGCATGGCGCGAGTATCTGGCACGACGAAAACGTGCTTTCTGGCAAGAGTGTTTTTACAAATAAAAGTTGTACCAACTACCCATCTGTCACTATCGTTTCCAGGCCACGCTTTCTAGTCTGCGCCGAAAATGTGGGGCAGAGGAATCTTTACGACACAGTATGCTTTAAAACTACCCCCCTCCCCACTCCCTTCTTTTTTTTAGTTGCTCCTCAAGATACTTTTTATTCCTCAGGGATTGCCTGCTCCGTATTGAGTGGTGTTCACTCGACAATTATATTTGTGTCACTTGTTAACAGTAATTCTTCCTTGCTTTAACTTTGCACCAAACTGTGAAGGTTAAACAAAATACAGGGCGGTCGAAACTTGGAGAACTTGAGAGCGACACTCCTGTGAGACTTAGAGCGGCTGCCAACGTTCGGCTATCCCCGTGAGGCCACTAGGATCTTTCTTTTCAGGTATCCCTCCCGTACACGCTAATAGTTCCATGTAAAGTCCGACTAATACGTCACATTTAGACCCTTTAACACTTCTATTCTCGGGACAACTTTCTGAGGCAGTTCAGCAATAACGAAAACATGTTTGGGAGCCTCAATGGTGTGCATACATGTAAAATGGGTCGTGCAGCATCTTTTTTTTTTTTTACCTTAAGTTCAATAAATATCGCTAAGTTGTAATCCTTGACGTTGATAACTTGCAAAAGCATTCATTAGTTTGCCCCTCCGCGAAATGGCAGACAGTCGAAAGAAAGAAATGAAACAGCTTTCCCCTCCTCAACTCACAATTAGAACTATCAGCCACGTGATCTGATCCTAATATATACACCGTCAGTGTTTATCATAGTCATACGCAGGGTTGGCAAAGCAGAGAGCATGGGCTGATCTTCAGATATAATTTTAGTTGGGCCATAATGCCCGAGCCCCACTAAAGCGACAAACAGAAACAAACGACAGCGGCTAGCCTTAAACCAGAGTATTTCGCGATTTGACAGGCTTTGTAGAATAAAGAAGGCTATGCTCAAACACGAGTATCATGCACACGAAGGTACCATTTGCAGGCTTGTAAACACTCGTGCTAACTTCGCGAGCACCGAACAACTCAAAGCCGTATAAAGGTACCATCGCGAACATGCTGCATGTGTCTGAGGCTTGTCGCTTTCGTTTGTTTCTGTTTCTAGCTCTAGTGGGACTCGGGCCCATCATAATCTTTGAGTTGAACACGAGCGTTACCCGAATGTTTGGCGATACTGGTTGTCATGAACCAGAGCATTTGACTCGGGATCATGACAATCGGGTACATCATGGTGTCACGTGACTCTCAGTGCGAAGTTGTGATGTCATGTGACGTCACGGTATCAACAACGTTAATAGATCTAGCGACGTCCTCAATTCGAATCGACTTAACGCGGTGAGTCACGTGACGTCACGGGGTCACGTGATGTGACATTACTTGACAGCATGTCTTGACATCATGACGTCACGTGACATTGTGACACATGGCTAATCATAGTGCCAATAAGAAAGCGCCGCAAAAAACCAGGATTTATTATACATTGCAATTCTGTATATGACGATTTGATCAATACGTAGAGGAATACACGTGCCAATAATAATAAATTTGTAATACTAACAAAAAAAATACTACGATTTGATCAATACAGAGAGGAATACACGTGCCAATAATAATAAATTTGTAATACTAACAAAAAACAATACCGTGAACCGTTTTTAACCGGTTACCGTTATATTTTTTTCCGGTTCAGTTCCGGTTCAGTTCCAAGATGGCGGCGAAGATTTCGGTTCGGTTCAGTTCCGGTTCGGCTAAAAATAACGGTTCTGTTCCGGTTTTCGGTTCGGTTCGGTTCTGGTTCGACACCCTGAGAAGGTGATATGTAAAAAATAAACTCAGCTTACTTCACGATGCCTACAGTCTTTGTATTCTTTATGTCAGATGACGTGTGCATTTTAATTAACGCATAAGCTTAAGAAAAGTGGCTGGCGGTCCCATCACTCTTCGGATGTATATAGATTGCATGTTTATACGTGGACCATCCGAAATATGTGACAACCTACATTTAATGCATGCAAAACATAAAAAGCTATTCATATAATAATGCCAGGCGCGTCGCTCCCCGAGCGTGTGCGTGGCCGAATGGTTACCGCGCTTGACTATCCTGCGGAAGGTCTAGGTTCGATTCCAGTCTGCGGAATATTTTTTTGTTCATTCTTTCAACTTGGTGTTCACGCAAGTTGTCCAACTGAGCTCAAAATGTTCTACGCGCCGAAAGTTTTAGATGCATGTTCCAGAAACCCACGGGGATGCATAAGGAAGGCATGCGAGTAGAGTCACTCTTGCCCCAGTGTTCGATCCTGCTGTTACCCCGACTTCGACTCCCGCTACGCACAGTTGTAACCCTCTGTCAATTTGTTTTTTATTTTGGGCACAAGGTAGCCCCATTAGACGTTTTAGTGTCGTCAGTTATTCTTTGTTTTGTCGCCTCATTATTTGTGGCATTTTGGTGGAGGTGCGAGGTAACGCAAGTTCCTCGCACCTCCACAGTACCCCTCCGCAGTACCCCTCCGAGCGTCCGCAATGCGATTCCGACACCGATCACATGATGTCCTAACGAAGACACTACGGAGACTCGATTAGGTTGCCGCACCCAAGGCCTACATCCGGAATGCGGACTTTTGCCGATCAAGACCATGCAGCCAACGAGGCCGATGATGAACCACCAGTCGCTGCAGACCCCGACCGCCGCCGCAGTCGTCGACCTGCCCGTCGCCCAGGGAACTCCGACGACCTTCGATGGCGAGGCCCACGGGGATGTGGAGGACTGACTTCTCCACTATGAACGTGTAGCCCTCCATAATGGATGGACCACTGAGCAGCGCTTCCAATACCTCGACTTCTTTCTCTTTGGAGGGTACCACGAGGTAGTTGTTCGAGATCCACGAGCCTTCACTTACGTCGTGTGATACCTGTATTGCCGGCCTGAAGGAGACATGCACGATCCAGCTACGACGACAGCGAGCGAAAGGCCTCCTGCAAATAAGGACTCAAGGCCCCAACGAAACGGTCACCAGCCTCGTTGAACACGTCCTCCGCCTGAGCAGCCGCGCCACCCTCAGTCCAACTAGGAGAAGAAGGTGCGCGTCCTGATGAGAGGCGTGAAGAGTGACATCTTTGGCGGCCTTGCTCGCAGCCTTCCAACTATTGTTGTTGAATTAGTTCCGGAAGAAACTAACATCGCCAGCCACTATAACCGACTCGCCGGCACGGCACTTGCTTCGACTCTGGCACCTTCCCTATCCGACCAGGGCGGCATCAGCGCTGAAAACATTTTAGAAATAATCCGCGACATCGCCCGAACACAGCTCCGGAAAATTCACCCGCCGCTGATCGTTCCGCCTCGATTTCCATTGCCGAGATCATGCGGGAACAACTCTAGAGTGCCATCCAACCAGAGGCTCCTATCAGCGTCACAGTCTCCGAGGAACCTGCTCCGCAGTGGCCCGACGGCCACCGCCTCCTCCTCGCGCATATGTCGTGCCGCGCGGGACGTCAGTCTTCTGCGCCACAGTACGACAGACGCCACGACGACCAGGTCCAGTACGCCTGCCAGGAGTCCAGTGCACCCCGGAAGAGCGACGTGTGGCGAACGGCTGACCGACACCCTATATGCTACCACTGCTGGGAGGCCGGCAACGTGTACCGACGGTGCAGCTTCCGCCAGATTGGGCTGAGAGGTTTTACGCCAAACAACCCTCGGCCCCGCCTGGGAGAACGACTAAGGGACATCGGGGAGTACCTGCACCGTCCGCCACCTCTAGGGCCGGGTCTTTCTCGGGAATCCCGCTCACCATCCCCACGAAGTCCGCATAGCCCCTTGGTCGGTCCCGCTGACAAATCTTGTTCCCCCTGCGACGCCGGGAAAACTAAGTGCGGTAACGCCTGGAGGTGGCATTGCCGAAGACGACCGAAGTTAAGAGGCTCCAAAAACGCCGGAGGGCTCACACTTTCCCGACGCCACGCATCGCAACGACGCCTCTCCAGCAGTGCCTAGCAACCTAAACGTCGTTATCGACGGCCACAACGCATCGGCACTCGTGGACACGGGAGCAGACTACTCAGTCTTGAGTGGGGGGTTCTCTCGCCGTCTGCAAAAAGTGACTACACCGTGGGATGGGCCGCAGATATGAAGCGCTGGGGACACCTCATCACGCCTGTCGGAAGGTGCACTGCTCGCGTCGAAATTCACGGCGAGACTGGTCCTGTGAAGGTCATCGTCGTGCAAGACTGTGCGAGGGACGTTATTCTCGAAATTGAATGTCTCTGCGAATACGGCGCCGTCATCGATCTTGGTGAGAACAGCTTGACTCTGCGGTCACCTGTTCCGCCTTCAGAGAAACCCCAAGCAACGTCAGCCGCCGTCCGAGACGGTGTCGACCACGGAAACTTGCCGCCGCGATCAAGTGTTGTCGTAACCGTCGTGACCAATGCAGCTACCTGCGGCAAAGTTGGTCTGGACCGACACCTTCAATTTCTCCTGGGGAGAGAAATAGGCGCCGCAAGAGGAGTAGCTGAACTTTGGAATGGGCGCACTCTGGTTCTCATCACGAACTTTTGAAAAGAAACACAAAACCTCACGAAAGGTGCAGCCGTGGAGCACGTCGAAGAACTTCGGAACTCCGCCAAAATCGCCGCTGTTACTGCAGAATCCTCACCACCTCAGCAAGACTGTACGTCGCCAGCGGAGCTCGACGCTGACCCCAAGCTTTCGGGCCCTTTTTTAGTAAATTGTAGCGCGAAGCGTTGAAAAACAGCTTTCTCTCAGCCGTCTAAAGTGCCTTAGAAGCGTTAGTTTACATGCTGTATTACTAAAACTCCCTATAGACCGTTCTTTGACGGGCCTTTTAGGCCGCGCCATATTAACGAACGTAACTCCATCTACTTTTGTTCGGGTTCCTCGGAGCTCTCGAGCCGTCCGGCTGACCGGCCGCGGATCGGGGTCTGTTACCCGAACAAAGTGCGGATTGCGTAGCGCACCGGTCCTCTGCGAATTCGACTTGTTGTTTTGAGGCTTGTTATCTCGGTAAGACGTGATGCCGTGGAATTTATCGTATTAGCAACAAAATTCATGTTGAAAGTGCATTTGTTTCTTTTTTGAAATGGCAAAATGGAACTGTTTCTGAGAGCGCGGCTGTGGTGGCCGCAGCCACTGGCAGTGAAGATTATTTTCATCAACCTGCAGGCTTCGCCTTTGCTTGGTTTCATTGCTTTTTGAGGGTAGGGTGATTTGATGTGCCATTTTCCTTTTGCGCTCTTTTCGTGTTTCCTGGGACCATCACCTTCTCCTCTGCCCCCGCAATACCATTACGGAGAATTTATTACAGCTGGATACAGCCTGGTGACCTTACACGAAAGCGTTATCTTTTAAAGTTTAAGATTTCCTTGAATATGTGACCTTTAGGTAGTTCTTCGCTCTACTTGTACGGTTGTATAAAAACGTGATTTGTGGACATAAAATTCAGCTGTTTTTGGAGCTTGGTGTTCGTATTTTTGTGTTCTACCCCCTCACGCTCCAGGGTTGCAGTGTCTATCCTCACACAGCCATCTTGCATGTACATGTGCTTCGACTTCATTTATTCGCGTGTTGCTCTATATTTCGTGCAAAGTATTTCGGCACATCGACGCGCAAATGGAAATTAAATTAAGGAACAGGCTCTAAAAAAACGAACCAAGGGTTCATATTCGAGGCTTCAAAATTTGTAGTGCATTTATTTTCCTAGCTAGCGTCACATGCTAATTACTACCAGAGGAGAAATGTAGTCAATAAACTATCGGTCTGTTTGCCAGGCAACTGTTTTGCTCAATGTAAACGCCGCGCTCCGCTTCCATTTCTGTCATATCAGCCTGCAGGCATGAGTGTCGGCGTAAGACTTACGGCAGTCCTCCGGCCGTTCAAAAAAAAAAAATATTGTGAGCAAACGCAACTCTTGCTAAACAGCGATTGCTTTTTTTTAGTTCAAAATGTAACAGCTACCGGCGTTCCAGGTCGAGATCGGCACGGAACTGCTGTAGCATGAACATGTCGTATCCACATTTATTTCACTTCACTACCTGGGTCGCGGACACTGTTTGGCGTTTTATTTAAGTTTCTTTCATTTGCGCAACTAATGACAGCCGATTGCTGTCCTTGGTTGTGAACGATGACCCGACCTGGCACCCAGTGATTTACATATTTTCGGACCATTGAATTACCTGGATTGTAGGCGACTCACAGCCGATGCGGAAGTTTAGCAAGCCGTGATGACGCAGCTTTAGGGACTTGACGGAGATTTCTTTTATGCCGGCATCGATGTCTTAGTGTGCCGTTGAACCAAATGTTTTAACAAGCATGGTGACTATGTTGATAAGTAATGTACACCAGTGACATACTACTGTATATCAGTATATATGCCTGTGGAATACAGTTAGTCCATGAAAGCTCTTGCTATACCTTACTTTTTTATTAACACTTGTACCATCAAACCAAAGAAAGACGTCTACGTAATATCAAAAGTTTATAACCCCAAAAAACCTGCCATACTTCGCTGAATTTTCTAGGTAAGGTAGTCTTCGCAGCCTGGCTCGATTCGGCAGCAATAGGGATTTTATGTTTTTGGATAATGCGATGGACGGAGTTATCGATTGACACTTGCTGCTCAGCTGCCTACTTGATTCTCGAGTGTCTACTAAACGGTGGACATTTTTTATCTTTCTGTTTCGCATCACCCAGCACCCCTCACTCGCGTTTAATTGACATAAACACATATTAAAGAGATCGTTGCAAATACTATTCCCGACATTTCTTTAGATGTGTAGCTTTCGCCGGTGTATCAGTGCCAGTGTTCAGCTTTAACATTTTTTTTTCTTATTCATGTTCGTTTTATATAAGTGCAAGAGGAGTTGAAAAGTGCA